CAAATCAGACACCATCAGTCACATTAGAATGGCTTGTCCTATTCGCCATTCTAATGGGGGGCTATGTAACGGTCCAGTCTGACTTGTCCCTTTTTCCCACTGCAAAATAGCAACCGGTCGTGCACGAGACAATCAAAGAAAAACGGTAATTGAGCGAAGGCGCTTTTCTCACACATATGCAAATGTGTTAGGGCAACTCTGCGAAAACATTATCATATAAGAAGCGTGACGTCACGACCGTGGGAAATATATTGTTTACAATGCAAAAGCGACAATTATAAAGTTTTTCGAATGAACAAAAGCACCTTTATAGTCAATTTTGATGCGCTGATCCTGAATTTCATGTCGTTATAATTCTCAAGTCGGTATTTATTAGTTGAATTTAATTTACAAGTTAATATTGTTAGTAATTTTGCAATAAATAATCATATTGTTAATTCGAATATGCGACTACGTCCGCAACATGTTGAAACAGAGAAGCAAGAATTTGACACTTTAGTAACTAATTATTCACTAAGTTATCAATAAATAAAATATTTATAATTTTTTTAAACAATTAAAATTGCATTGTTAGATAGCGAGTTGATTGTATATATCTGTAAAATTGATGATTATGATTGTCACTAATTTGCTGATTTTTAAATGGTTAAAAAAGAAATTTGCAATTTCGTTTTATAATTAATATTCAAAATTAGATAGCTATATTAATCGTTTTTAATTTGAATAACGTTTCGCTAATCACAAGCGATTTTTTTATGTAAAAATTTTCCGTAAATTTATTGTAAAATTGGTGTTATTTGATTATTGAATTGTATTACTTATAACTCTAAAAGGCGATTTTTCCTCGAGAAACGATTTATGTTAAAAAATTCGTTATTTCATATTTAATTTTTTAAATGATAAAATTGCAATCTCGATCGAGCCATTTTGTAACAAAATATATGCAAAGTTTATATCAATTTCAAAAATAGCGTTGTAGGGGCTACCAAGCGTAGAAAGGAGCCCATTTCGCAAGTATAAATTCGCTCGTCGCTGCGGCAAGAGGATTCACTTCCTACCTTGCTTAGCAGTGCGAGCACTGTTTAGAAATAAATCCTCGGCAATTTCCTGAAATAAATTTCTTTATTCAGTGGTTAGCCTACTAATTTCTCTCCTTTCGATATCTAAGTGCTCAACTCATAAGACTATCTCTCTTATGAGAAAAAAGTAGCCTTAGATATCTCCCTACCTCAAATATAATAATTGTTGAGAAATTAAATTGAGTATTGGTTGCGACGCTGTCGGGCTTCTCCCCGATAGATGCAATCACGCTCAATTGCATTTCAAGACGATACATCGAGTTAGAAAATTTTGGGTTTCATTTAGAACATACACGTGTAACTTCTTGCTACTCTCGGAAACGCGATTACGAATACAACAGAAAAAGTCCGAACTATTGTTTTGATAACGCGGGAAAGATTCAAACGTTACACTATTTTCTTTCAAAACAAAAACATCTGCTCAAAACTAAGCCACTACGAAAATTCATGTTAATTTTTCACCTATCAAAAATAGGGGTTGCAACCCCCAAAAGTCAATATTACCAGAATTTATTATACTTTCGATAAGGAATATTACCCATTTGGTTTTACTAAAAAATATTGATTAGGAAAAAAGCTATTTAAAAAAACCTGTTTTTGGGGGTGAACTTTGAGATCTTTTTTATAGTGATTAAAGTTGCAACGGTAGTCGATTCGATGAATCGATACGTTCGCGATTCGGTAATACTCGCGACGTTAGAGCAAACGACTAAGAGAGAGAGAGGAGGCGTGCGAGGATTTGAATAGTTCAGTTAAGCCTCAGCTGCTTTCGCGATAGTATCGCCGTGATTAGTTTTTGCACTGTGTTTCGCCGTTATTTGTTGAAAGTTTTCCTGGGACTGTAAAATACGTGCGAGTGCAGATAAGTAGCTAAGAAGCAGCAGCAGCATTTACAGCAGCAGTATTTCAAGAAGCAATAGATTTGTAAGCGAGGCAGCGCAGCTGATCTGTGGAGCATCTTTAAACTTCGCTTCAGCAATTACGGCTGATCACCGTAATTGCACCACAGGGTAGGCGCACCTACTTCTATTATTGCGCGACAAAATACTTTCGAAACTATTTTGTCAATCGCGATCGTAAATTTTTGTATTCGAGCCGAGCGTTAAATTTCGTGGCAATTTTCGAAATCTCTCTCTCTCTCTCTCACCAAATTATATTTAATAATTGTGAATCCTATTCGCGTGCGTTAGTCTGTCCGCCCGTAAAAGATTGTAGTTTGTGTAAATTAAACTTTGTTAATTTTATGCGCCGTTTACGTCATTTCGTTTCCTATTAGTTTAATAAATCTATAAAAGCTTAAGTCTTAATCCGATTTCGTCTAGTGGATTAAGCGGATTAGGCATTAAATCATTCATACTGAAGATAGATCGTGTGTCACAAGTCAAGTGACTTAAGGTGAGTTCGTCTCGGTTGGAAAAAAGGCACTGAAACGAAATCATCAAACGTAAAGGCGAATACACGTATAACTATACGTGTTTAACAGAGCGGCGGTTAGCTCTGCATCGTGGGAGTTTGTGCTTCAATAAATTTCTCATTTTGTAGGATAACCACCCCGTTACAAAGTTCGGCCCGCAGCAATTTTTCAATTTTCTAAATCATAAGATTGCAAATTCAAAAATCTAATTAACAAAAACCTAAAAAATTTTGAAAATATTTTCTTTATTTGATTTTAAAACGTTTTTATTCTTAGGAAAATTTCGAGAAAAAAATTCATTTTTCAAACCATATTAGAATTTTTTTCTCGAAAACTACATTTTTTACTGAAAATTTTCTAAGAATAAAAATATTTAAAAATCAAATAAAGAATATTCTCCAATTTTTTCAGATTTTTTCAATAATATTTAAAAAAAAAATCCGTTTTTTTTATTTTTGACTTTTTGATGGTAAAAATTTTTTTGCGAGACTTTTAACCGGCATTTTTGAAAAGATTACCCTCTAAAACGTAGGCAATAGTAGTTTCTAAACTTTTTTTGTTCGATTTCATTGCATAGCAACTATTGAAAGGTAGCTCTTGAAAAAGCGTCGTGTCGGTGTTAATGGGTTAAACGCTATAAGAGTTTTAAAGCATAAATTTACTTATATCCGACGTAAAAAGCATCATTATTAATAGAAATGTAGATAATTTCTTCACTTTTCTTATCCGCCATTTTCTTGATTTTCGAATTGTTAGAAATCTGCTCTCAAATTTTCTATTAGTAACCTTAAACACCACTATATTCGCCAAATTTGATAGAGACAGGTTGATTTTTCGAAAATTCGTTCGCCATCTTCGATCCACCATCTTGTCTTTTAAAATTTCAGAAATCAAACTTTGGTGAGAAAATCGTATTCAGTAATCCAGAAACACCCTCCTACATACTGTGACGGTAAACGTCGTATTAGCGCTAATAGCCTAACCTAGTGGCTGCCTGCGGGGGCAGCACTTACCGGTAGTCGAAAAATGTAATGAGGGAATTCGGCACGCGACGAGACGGAACGCGCGCGATGAAAACGAACCAGTGAAGGATCAGCCATCGACACGCTTAGCCGAAAGTGCAGAATCAGCTACCGATACGTGAGCCAAAAGTCGAGAATTAGAACCCGATCACAGGGCTGCGCTACCAAGACTCTTGACGTTTCCCGAGCTTTTCCGGAGTGCTGATACGAGCCGAGTCGGAGCTACGACAGCGGTGCCTCCGCCTGCCTGAAAAGCGTGTGTGTGAGAGTGCGCGTGTGAGGAGTTTCGCCAGTGAGGGCGAAACTGAAAACGCGAGCTTCCTCGTAATAAAGACAGACTTTCCCGCAACGAGAGTGCGAACCGTTTCTTTCGTTCTTCGTACGACTACCAAAAAGGTAAGCTAGCCAGCTTAATTTCGCGGTCGCGATATAATTGCTACACGACTAATCCCTCGATTCGACAAAAAGCGTGCATGTAACATCTCGGCAAACAAAGAGCGGCGAACGATCCGACACTGCATGTTGTTGTCGTGCGCGCGGCATGTAAACATAAACACGCGGGCCGAATACGATGTAATGTTAAGAGGTAATAAAAGTTCTCGTATGTGATATTTACAGTACTTTCGAAGTGTTCTTTTCGTATTTGTAGATAGTTAGTTGACTGATACCCGTTCCCTTCTGCTCTCCGATTTTCGTATTTAACATAGGTAATTACGTGCGCTTTTCGATACGATTACACAGATAAATTAATTAAACGGTATTCACCCCGTTACAATACCAAATTTTGTATTAAAATGTTGATCTTATAAAATTGGATCCGCCAACATTAAATGTAGACTTTTATAAATTTGACTGCAAATTCATATTCAGAAACCCCTAAAAACCAACCCCATATTAAATCAAATTTGGTGTAAAGATGTTAGATTTTTGATATGTTGAACATCATCTTGGATCTGTCATTTTGAATTCCGAAAATATATACGTATATGAATTCCCTCCTCTCAAACAAATTTCGCTCTATGTATGGAGGAAAATATTTGATTGTTATCACCTTATCCACTATATCAGATTTTGATCTGCTATGTTGAATTTGAGTAACCTAAAATATCAACTATTTAGGGACATTCTTTATCAACAATTTTAGCCACAAAAACAATATTTGTGGCCAATTTTTTTGTCTGACAACTCTATTTTTCTTGAATTTCTAGCTGCCATTTTGAACTCTCATTTTGACATTTTCTTCAACGAGAGCAGATATGAGAATCAAAAACCAAAATTTTAAATTCAAAATCATGAAAATATATGAAAAGAAATTTTGGTATATATATATATATATATATATATATATATATATAGATTATATAGGAACTTACGCATATATACAAGTTCTAATACAACAAATCATTAACCTTATAGAGAATTATTAAAAGAAATATTTAATTGAGTTTTGTATGTTATGTTGCCTTAATTTTTATGTATACTTACTTCTGCCAGCTGGTAAACTTTATCTCCATAATTTGTATCTTCAACATCTCCATAACGTAATATATGTGGTGCTACCTCTGAAATTCTTTTCCTTACTTGATGTATATCATCATACGGGAGACAGCTACCAGCAATCTAAAACAGAATATTCCATTCTAATACATAAATATACTATTTACGTGTGACAATCTATCAGTGTAATTATAATTATGTAATTACAATTATGCATAACACATGTAAAACAAGGATAGTGAGAGAGAGAAAGATCTTATCCGAGCCTGATATTATCTAATTCAATTAATACATTTGACATTTGACATATCACACATTATGTACACGATAAGTTTAAATATTATAATATTCACTGCTAAACAATATTATCAATTAATATTATAAATCTTAAAATTGTATATTTTTCGAGAAATACGCTTATACATTAAGATCCGCGATCGCGGCATGCTTGTGGGTCGGTACATGAAATAGCTGTGCAGCCTAGCACCAGGTATATACAATAAGTTGACTAATCAGGACGTTCCCGAAAGTGTTTAATTATTTTATAAAATAAATTCGAAAGAAAAATACAAAAGCAAGAAATAAAATTTTGCTCGTTCGAGAAAATGTACTCGGAAATAGATTAACTGCTGCGGGTCGGCACGAATGTATGCCGTAAATTACTCAAATGGTTGGGCAAACGGAAACTTGGATCGATAACACCTCTGGAGTGCATGCGCACACGGTTATAGAGAAGAGAAGAGAGAGAGAGAGAGAGAGAGAGAGAGAGTAGTTCACGCTGCCGAATTCATTGCCGCTTATGCTGTGGTCGCTGGAACTACTTCTGACACATCTACTGTTGGACATTTCTGGATGCATAGATGGCAGTTGGTTATATGCTAACGAAGCCGTTACAAAAACTATATTTGACCCGGCTCACAAAACTAAACGTCAATGTTCAAATAAAATGGCGTAACGAATCGTTCTACCAGTTCCGCATGCTGATCCCCTCGCGGTCGTCTGCGAGTGCGAGTGCAACGTGGCTCTCAATTGCATTTACTCTCTCAACTTCAGTCATTTAAATGTGTTGATATAATTAATGACAAGTGAGTTATCTCTTGTACTAAAAAAAATCTCTTAATTTACAGCAACAAAAGGCGAATAATGTTGAAACAAGGTAAGCGTTAGTTGAAAGAGAAAGAGAGAGAGAGACGAACAATGCATAATGCACGTGTGCAATGATGCAAACGAGCGAAGTAAGTGAGAGTTAGTTCCTCACAATAATAAGCAGTTAAGTCTAAGAGACAGAGCACATCAGTTGATTGCTGATCTAGTCCTTTTATCTTTACGACTAATCGGATAATAATATTACAAAACTCCTATGACTAGACTACATTACAATATCAGCTGTGGACATATATTATCGTAAGTATATGAAATAATAGAGAAGAACAGAGCCATTAACGTACACTACTGTAAGCCACCTGTAACGGAGTTTCGGATGAGCGCCGATTCTGTGTTGGTATAAAAGATGAACGTTAACTGGTGAACGGGAGAAAAAGTTCGCTGAAAGAGTAGACGTCCGCCCGGCTTTCCTTGAGCCTGATCTTGAATCGAAGATGAGCGTAAAAAGTAAATAAACAACGCGTAAGGATTAAGAGAAAGTCGTTTAATATACAGAAGCATGGTACATGGAGAAATAGCAGCGATAAAAAGAGAAGCGAGAAACGCAGAAAGAGAAATTTACAATAAAACGGCGTGCACTGAATGACCCCGGGGATTCGCTAAAAGTGGTTAGCAATGTTTCTTATGGGCGGCTTCAAACCAACTCACGTCGCGCACTCACAAAGTCGCAAAAGAATATCGCACGCGTCACCTCAAGCTCGTGTAAACGAGTTGTCTCTCCTGGTTTTAGGGACTACCGTTGACAGAACTCTTGACGACACCATAAGATGGAAATCGAGGATGCGTGTGTCAATCCGTATCAGCAAAAATAGGTATAAGTTCGCTTGCACTCTCCCGCGTTGCGTCAAACTTGTACGTCTGCGTGCAGGCGTATGCGTGACCACGTGATAACGAGACAGATTGCGCTAGCCGCGAATTGTCTCTCTCTCCCACTGACTCTCGCTCTTTTACTTACCTTGTGTGTCAGCTGTGGAAAAATACGTATAATATTGAATATAAAATAATAGAATAATAGAGGGAGAGATATAAAGAGGAATTTTCCACTCGTTATATGCCCCTCTCCCAATCACAGGTAGCCAGGGCATACTAGTGCGAAACAATTAGTCTCTGTCTCGGTGCAATACATGAAATAAATTTGGATAAAGGCACGATAATTCTCTTTTTTCAAAGTAATTTATTTTAAGAGATGATTAATCAATAAAATAAATAATACTAAACGCTTAGCCTAATGCTAGGCACTTTTCTCGCAAACATAAAGTACAATTTATATTTATCCAAACGCACAGGTATTGTGAATAAAACTTAAAATAAAAATGCGTCAGTGCTGATTAAAAGGTGAGTCTGGTACGGCGAGAGACGTCAAAAGCCTCTCTGTCGGGCATGATGCACTAGCGCATAAGCGACTGACAAATCTTTACCGGGTAGCTTTGTTATCGATCGTTGGGGCAGCTGGAGGCTCGTTAAACGCCGGTAATGTAACATACGTTGCAGTACCAGATTGTGAGGTTGCATCGCAATCATACCCATTTATCACAGGGATACTCAATCTCGACCTTGAGCTTGGTCTCCAAACCACGGCGTATCGACGTAGTAAAGCGAGCCCGCGATCCCCCTTGGCTTGGTGCCGAGAGGTTCTGGCGTTCAGTTTCTTGCGCGAGAAGCTCCTTTTTGCACAGAAACTCCACGAGCTAAGCCTATATAGCCTTCAGCTCCCTTTACTTAGTCGTCTGCTTCTTCTCTACCTGTCGTCTTTTCTTTTTCTCTCAGCGGCGTCGCTCCTGGTCGACCTAGTTGAGGTTGCTTTAAGCAACTGGTACAGGTTTACGGTACCCTGGATATTTGCGATAACTTCGCCCGCGGGGCTTCAGGCAGGATAGAAACAGAGTGGTGTCAACTGAAATTTAGATAGATAACAGATGAATAAGCGTAATTAATTAACGAGAATCCGATAAGGTGAGCAGGAGTAGACAGAAATAAGCAAAAGGCAGGAAAAGAAGAAAGGAAAGTGGCAAGCAGTAGGAGCATATTTCTAAATAGTTTTGGAGTGCAAGTGCCAAGGTAATACTGGTTGCGAAGTCGAAGCGGCTTCTTGGAGCCGCGCGACCGAGCTCACTTTCTAGGCATCATAGTTGTGGGCAATTCATCCGTTGCCGGCACATCAGCACCAATTATCGGGTATGAAAGAGAGGGGCCTAATCCATGTTCCGTTGCCTCGCGACAGTCAGTTTCGTTAGCAAATTTTACCATCAGTGCCATCGCTGGATAATTGTTCTTTGATGAAGCAAGGTTTTAAGTTACACACGGCAACTATTCCGATATCAACTTCTCGTTCGTTCTGGATCTGATACGTATGTAGACATAAGAGCGCGATTACAACGAAGGATTTTGTATACTTAGGACTGAGGTTTGCCGCTAATGCTTGTGCCGCTGAAGAAAGTACGCGATTCCTTACTCATACCTGATTACCAATGTCGAAGCCAACATCGTGAAATTTCGCGTTGTAATATTTTTCTTGTCTCACCTCAATAGATTTAGAGTTTTCGAGAGCTTTAGCCTAGAGATCATCGACTTTTTGCATATCGTATTGCCAATTGTCGAGCATATGCATCGCTATTTCATCAACAGCAGAAAGCAGAAAGATCAATACATGCACAGTACCCTTGCATAATATTTCCAGACATCATTTCCCATGGACGTGAGAAAACTTGCTTTTCCATTAGTTCCGCTGAAACCTTCTCTTTTACATTAATCGGCTGAATTTGACAATTACGCGGGTAATAGGCAACATCCTTATAAATGTTAGGCTAATAACACAGGCCTGCAAAATAGAGAGTCGTCACTGTTCTTTTACAACTTACGGTCATTTCCGAAGTAATTTTTGGCGTAGAATTAGAATCCGTCGTCAGAATTGCTTCATCACGTCAGGTTTTTGAGTAATCGTCCCCTAAAGGTCGAAAAAACACGTTTTTTGGCCATATTCAAGGCTTGATTACATCGTGAGTTTATATTCTTTTCAAAAACGGTTGACGGCATCTTAAAGAAGCACTCTTACCCTTCAAAACCCATTTTTCAAATTTAAGATATCATTTTTTTTCATCAAGATATCATCAATGGAAATTTGCCATTTTTGAGGTTTCACCATGAGCTTAAAAATTCGGCCAATTGTCCTGGAAGAATACGATATATTTTAAATATAAAGTAAAGATACGTCTTGAGACGTAACAATTTCTTAGTATTTTTTGGATAATTATTCTAGAATCATTATCCAAAAAATACTAAGAAATATATCGTATTCTTCCAGGACAATTGGCCGAATTTTTAAGCTCATGGTGAAACCTCAAAAATGGCAAATTTCCATTGATGATATCTTGATGAAAAAAAATGATATCTTAAATTTGAAAAATGGGTTTTGAAGGGTAAGACTGCTTCTTTAAGATGCCGTCAACCGTTTTTGAAAAGAATAAAAACTCACGATGTAATCAAGCCTTGAATATGGCCAAAAAACGTGTTTTTTCGACCTTTGGGGAACGATTACTCAAAAACCTGACGTGATGGAGAAATTCTGATGACGGATTCGAATTCTATGACAAAAATTACTTCGGAAATGACCCTCAGTTGCAAAAGAACAAAACCTTGCAGGCCTGTGTAATAGTGTAGAACAACTCACTAATGCGTTTTATAACGGCCCAGGTGACTCGCTGTTGGTTCTTCGTGACATTCAGTCAAAACGATGCTCGCACGGCACGATAAGCTTCCATGTATCGTCGTTGTAGCTAAGCAAGTCGTCCACGACAGGATGAGGTCTTTTATTATATAGACAATCACTCACAATCTTCTAGTAGCAGTGCATCCTCGGATTCTCTTGTACCTTCAAAAGGTATCAAGAGTCCTTGCTGGTCTACGATAAGCGATGCGATGATCGTGTCCTGATTCTCATCGGTCTTGAAAATTTAAGAAAG